TAGTACGACACTCAGTAAAAATATAAACCCTCAATTACCACCCCTTAAAACAGTTTAGACCCAAAACATAAGAGGAAACAACCCCTACTTTATAATAAACAGGAAAAACATAAAGATATATATTTAATGGTTAGAGAAGACGGACTTTTAATCAACAGATCGCAGGATCAAACCCCAGGTGCTACACTTCGGGGTTGGTTATGACTGACTGACTACGGCTAATAAGCCAGAAATGGCACCTCCAGTCTCACTTGTCATCACTGGTAATACTATTCCGCCTATATTAGGCCTTGCCGAACTAACGCCACAAATAGCTTGTTAAAGAACTATGCAAAGCAAAAAAATCAACAACAACTAGATAAACAAAAACCCCCGACGGCTACAGCACAAATAACCCAAACTTAAATTTATAAAAGGACGAAATATTAGAACAAAAGGGCGTATAATATAACTTATAGTTTTTGCACAACAAACCCGTTGCCAGATGTATAAAAGAGTTCCTATGGGAAGTAAACTTCTGAGAAACTCCCGGGGACTACTTAACAAACGAACCAATAATAGAGAGACAAAACAAAAAAACACTTATCAAAATAAAAACATCACAAAAAGAAGAGCAGCTATAAGGAAAACGATGACCTAAAAATAAAACCAGCACACCCTCCCTCCATTTTTATTAGATAATAATATGAACATAAACCTAACATACGATTATAAAGTAAACTAAGTAATCTTGATTAATGACTTGATACATAAAACATAACTCGGTGGAATGTAAATTTACATATTAAGGGGACATGAACCCCGCAGTTTATACTTACCTTATCCGCCCCCCTAACATGAATTATCTTCCGTGCTTCAAACTAACGCTTTAGTTATAAGCTAAGACAAAAATAGACCACAAGCCCCCATTTTAACCAAAATATAGCGTGCTTCACAACACCTTAATAAATTAAATTCACAACATACCCAAGTAACACCAAAAGCATAAATACAAAAACAGGAACCCGAAACTGATTACCACAAAATTGCTAACCTCAAAAGATTCCCAACGAATCAAAATATGAGCACCTAAAACAAGAGGTACTAGTCCCGCACAAAATAAATAAAAACATCAAAAGCAAAGATCAATCCATGAAAATGTTGAGAAAGACAATATAAATACCTCACATAAAAACTGAATTATGGGAGGAAAAGAACACAACGAGAGTAACCTTAAGACAATACATAGAGTTGTGTAAACCTTACCAACACCAGACTTCAAAAGAACATTATAAAAAAGTCACGAGAAAACAAACACAAGTCCCGCACTTAAACGATGTCTCAAACAATAAAAAAGATAAATTAATACCCTATCAATCATAAACAAAAAACCCTCAAAAGGATATTAAAATATGAGACAATCTAAGAAAAAGCTAGCCATCGCTTTCCGTCCAACTCAATCGAAGCCGTAATCAAAAAGAAAATACTAAAAAGACAACACAGGTTTAAATAACTAACAAAACTACCAGAAAAAAACAAAAGGAGTACAACGCTAAATACAAAGAATCCCCAACTTCATAGTGCAACCACTTAAAAACATTGAAACATTTCTAGTCGCTTCAGCATGAACTATAGGCAACCAAGTATGAAATGGGAATAAAGGAACCTTTGTGAAAAATATAAAAGCCAAGGTAGCAATTATAAAGATGCACTCACTATTTAAAGCCCATAATTTCAAGAAGAAACTACATTTAGCATAAGATAAGTATAACAAAATCAAGATTAATGGCAGTCTCGTAAATAGCAAGTAAACAGAGAAATATCAACCCGCAATAAAATGCTCACAATAAGAAGAGTTACAAAAAATTAAATATAGTAAAGGAAGCATGGAAAGCTCATAAAAGCACCAGAAGATAATTGAATGACCACAACAAAAACACAAAAAACTAAAGATTAACCGCAAGCCAAGACGAAAAAATGCTATGCATCCCTTCTACACGACAAATAGTAGAGAAAAGTCTATATGCAGCTACGAAATATATTAATAAGACCAAATAAAAAGTACAGAGTCTACAACAAAATAACCTTTACCAACAACAACAACAACAACAACAACAACAACAGATCCAAACACACCCACTCCAACTGAGTATAATAAAGGAATAGGAAAAAATAAAGTAAAACCTAAAAAACGAATCCAATGAATATGTACACTCCCATACCCGTGTTAAAACCGCGAGACCCACAATGACCTCAACAGCTGAAACAGCCATTCACGCAATAAATACCGCATGACTATCCAGCAAACTGAGCAACGGACTAAATAGCAACAATAATACTTTAAAATTTTCCAAAATAATTAAACACCGAAGAAAACGAGTTAGAGACAAAATAAACCCCAAGAACACCATTATAAACATGAAAAACTATAAAAACATCATAACCCCTAACCTAACAAAATACCAAGACCTGACGTAGCATAATTAGATCAAAATAACTTATAAGCAAACATAAAAGCTACAGCGCCAACTGAAAATAACTGGCATATACCCAGATTAGGATACTCCAGATAGCATGAACCCAAGTACGTTAGCCCAACAAAAAACAAACAAAAACTCAAAAAATCACCTGTCGGGCAACAAAGCATGAGCTTAAATCTTTAAGTGTGGGAATCCACATAAAAAAATAACAACCTGACAACCAACACTGGACCACTTATTTTAGACTTCACAGAACGAAGCATAGCATAGTAAATCAAAAAATACCAGTCGGGTTTATAGATACTGGAGTCATCAAAAGATCAGATTCTAAATAACCCTCCGTATCTAACACCAAATCAGGAACTTACCACATAAATGCAACTAAAGCACAACATAAAAACACCAAACAAAAAAACCCCCAGTGGTAAAATAATAATGAAAATAAACAACCTGCCCGTAACCAACTGAATAAAACAGAGGATAATTAGAACCAGAAGACTGCAAGCAAAAAAGATACAAAGCCATAAGAACTAAAATTAGAAAACCCAAACAAACTTGAGCCGAAAAACACACGAACTAAAGTAACTTTAGTTACAGAAAGACCTATAACAACACACTTAAACACCGTAGGACCAACTAAAGGAATACTCTATGCAATAGCCGTCAAAACGGTGGCATCCCAATATGACATCTGATGTCAAGGTAAAATATAGCCCAAAAAGGCCTCAGCCATCGTCAAGAGATATAAAATAAATCCCACTTTCCAGACCCCCTACTTAGTATAACTTAAATAATATAGGGCGCGATCCATATGTACAAAAAATTAAACAACTAACATACTAACACCTCAAATATGTCAATAAAGCACCCTTGAAGTAAGAAAAGAATCGTTCCTTAAATCCACAACGCAACGTAAACTCAACTCTAAATCAGCCACATATAAAAGTGGAAGAATTACACCAGCAATAACTTGTACCACCATAAAAGCCGACATCATCAACCCACCACACCGATAATAATTAAGAGAATAATCAGTGGGCAAATCAACCACATTACGACGCAACAATGAAACCATTTCTTTACTGATACAAACACATAGAAGTTATCAATATAATCACAATTTGCCAGTTTGAATAACCGATCAGTAAAAAAAAAACATAGACACGAGCATGCACTAATAACCAAATAAAATTAAAGAAATGCCAATATCAAGTTACCAAAGTACAACGATACACTCCAGGCGAAGCAACCCCTAAGAATAAAATTATTGATAACCATATAACGCTCAAAAAGACATGTATAAAATGCCGACCCACAGTGCAAAAGCACCTGACATAAAACCTACTATCAGTCAATTTAATAAAATCTCTTTAAACTCAAACAACAGAAGTAAAACAAAACCCATTCCCAACACTATAGTCAACAGGAGCAACAACCAAGAAAAAGATCAAGGCATAATGAGATGAAAGCGCACCGTGATAGCTTCAAGCGTGTCAGATTGTTTATATGTGAAGAAGGTGCGCTGAGTCGTCGACCTCTCCCATCCCACTCCCACACCCCAGCCTCTGTCCGAGCCGGTCAGCAGACTGGAGTGGGAAATGGGCGCCGTGGCTAGCACGGTCGACTGACCATGTCTGCGTGCGCCACAGCACGACCTGGCCCCCCATACACACACAAACACCAGGATTTCACACAACAGGGGTTGAACGGCGTGTCTCTCAATTTCGTGAGAGGGCCGAGGAAGGTGTTCTTTCAGCCCGTCCTCAGCCCACCAGTCCACCATTCCACACAACACACACACACGCACACACCCACAATGCGACGAACTGTGTGGACCGAATGGGGCGTCAATCAGCAGCCCTCCTATCCAAGACGCTTGACTTGTCGGGATATCCTCGGACTCAAGTCACCCGTGCATCCGGAGCCGTATGGGGACCGAGTCGAGATGCACACTTCCCACTTGCGTGGAAGGTGGCAGTTGGGTGCATGCGGTTGGTTATTGTGGGTGTGTAGTGCGGTGATGGTGGTGGTGGTGGAGGTAGGGAATGTGTGACTGTGTGGTGTATCCGGCGGTTGTCTACCGCAGGTTGTCGTAGATGCGCATCTGACCGAATAGGCCCATGCGATGCCTGAAAATGCGAGGACACTGTGAGCAGTTGGGTCGAGCTTCGTGGGTATAGGTTGGTGCTCCAGGCACTGGTTCTCTAGTCTCAGTGCGATGAATTCGCAAGTGACCGACCAGGCCGATGCGTGAGGTGAACGTGCGTGGACAGTGTGGGCATCAGAA